TAGTTGTTCACCACAGAGACACAGAGGCTGAGAGGACACTTAGAGCCCTGCGGGGATCTGCGTCTAATGCTTGCATCCCTGTTAACAGCTCAGGAAACACGTCCCTTTATTAACTAATTTATCTCATGTGAACGAGTCCTCTGCCTGTCTTTTGTAGGTCTCTCTCCCTGGCACATCTCACTCTGCAGTGCAGCTCAGCTTACTGCATACAGCTCATGCACACACGGGGGATATATGTACATATGGAGGGTGATAAAAATAAATAGGCTTGTTCCCCCTGCAGAGTTTCACATCTCACGCACTAGGTCAGGTTGGGTCATGAGGTTTCCCAAGAGAGGAGAAAAACGAAAACCCACGTTTGTCTTCTCATGGTCGTGAAAGAATATCTGAGTGCAGTGAAGAAGTCATCATCCCGAGTAGTGCACTAGGGATAACTGTGTGCTTTCATGGAAAAAGAGCCAGGGACAGAGATTTGGGATGAGGCTTAGCTGAAGTCCAACTGTGCCTCCAGCCTTTCTTCAGAGGGGAGAGTTTCAGCTTTTGTTTTTTGGCTTTTTTGAGAACAAATCACTTGCAGTAAATTGATGTTGTTAGTAAATTTCAGTTGTACATTCTTCATCTTTCCAGGAAAGACCGGCCACGCAGAAGTAGTCCGGGTCGTGTACCAGCCAGAACACATCAGCTTTGAGGAGCTGCTCAAGGTCTTCTGGGAGAATCACGACCCGACCCAAGGTAGAGTGACGAGCAAGCTGGTATTTAATTATCTTACTAATTACAGCTGGGATAATTAGCGTCAGAGCTGCATGGAAGAGGTGAACCTTGAAATCACACAGCAGCTCAAGAATGTGACTGCAGACATTTATGATGGGGAGGGGGAGGGGCCGGGAGAGGGAGAGAATGAAGGCGCAGGCGAGTTGGGCACCCCTCCCCCACAGCTGTCAGGGTGGGAAGAGTCCCACAGAGGAAGCTGCCAGCAGTAGAGACCTGCTCACCTTTGATGACTGTATTCCTTCTCCTTAATGCAGCCTTTTGTCTGCAAAATTAAAGTGTCTTTCCAGCAACTCCAAAATTTTCCTGATTTGTGATTCCTTTATTTCTCTGAGTTTAGCCTTTCTCATCTTTTGACATTATCAGGTTTTTTTTTTTTT